TGCGGGAGTCCATTGGTGGCACTGATTGCTTACCATCAGGTAATAAGGCGGCAAACAAGAAGTCACGTTCACCTGCTGATAATCAATTGGTGATATCTGCTGGCACTTGCAACACCAGAGCAGTTACGAGTGCGTAGCAGTTGAGTAGTAGAAGTTCATATCGCGTTAGAAATTGGGACTGGGTCAAAAATGAAAAGTAGTGGAATTGGGCCTCCGGTCATCTTACTCAGAAGGCGAAATAGAAGACAAGCGTTGTTTTACGTCTGTTTTCTGTGAGACCTACTATACTCTGGTTAGACCGGCTCATTTGTTTTCAAGCATAATATAGATTTTTATTCTTTAGACGTCTGCATTTGTGTTGCTTTCGGATTGTCAAACTTTACTAAAATTTTAAACTTTAAAAGTCTTTGCTAATATTATTAAGAGGTGTAAGTTTGTATGTAGGGCGTAATCTTTGAAACCGCTGGTCGGATTTCCAAATGCCATTCACTGGTAGATCTATAGTTACAATGTTCCAGAGTGCTATAGGCTATAAATTATACTTGATGCGTATTTAGTTGAGCTATCGCTTTGAGCGCTGCTGTTTTTAAAATCTCGATATATTTGCATTACTTTTATACGGGTGCGAAGCTGCGGGCTGAAGTTAATTTGTAATAAAGTCGAAAATGTATAAAAGAAATATGAGAGATTGGAGCGATTATGTGTATTTGATTGTGACCTGAGTTTTGTGGTTTAATAAATTTGTTTATGTTCGGAGCAGTAGCTCAATAGCATAAACAAATGCATAAGAATATTGATTGTAAAGTTAGATTCATCCTCATCATCATCAGCCATCTCTCTCTAGGCTCTCACTCTCACTCTAGGTTAGGAGAGATGGAGTGTCAGACTCTTACTGACTGAAAACCCCCCCGTTCCTTCTCTTACTTCATGCATAGTTACGATATATTATATTATAGCGCATACACCCGCGAGCCCGTCACAATACCATCTGTTGATGTTATTATCCATAATACAAATACAAATACTACAAAAAGGTAACTATACAATTCTCATAGTAAGTATGTATCAAACGAAAGTTTTTAGATCAGTTTCCTTAACAAGGGCGGCCAACATCCGCTGCCATTTCACAGCAAATTAAACTCCGCTTAGCGCTCTTTGAATAGTAGGTAAAATATAATATGCGACAAAACGAAACTTAATAATAATGTCAACTGCCAATTGAACATAGCTCACAATGGACGACAAAAAATCGCATAATTGCAGTACGGTCGAGTAAACCAACACCAGGCCATTGTATCGAGTTGTGGGTGATATCTATTTCTTCTACGATTTGTCGCAGCGGGCGACATCGATACGCGTTTTTTTGTCGTTTGTCGGTTCGTGTGAATGCGGTTTCTAGGTTATTTGGGCGTAAGTACATTTTGTGAAGGTACACTTGCGTGCAATTTTAAGGTGAAATAAAAAAATAATTCAATAAAATGTAACAACGTATTATCCATCAATTCCAGAATCACTAGTAAGTATAAAGTAATTGTTAAGCAAGAAAAAAATCAGACATTTATTTTGAAAAACTATTTACAGAAACAGAACACCTAATAGGTTTCTAGTTGGTTGGCTTGCTCTATTATAGGTAGGCCGTATCGTCTCATACCACCAGGCGGGGCAGTGGCGAAACATCGGCATGGGATATATATTTATTTATTATTCTTTCACACAAAATCAGCTGGACCATTTTAGTTGGAATTTGGTATGTAGATATCCTGGATTAACACATGCGTTGCTTTTTATCGACATACCACGTGGGTGAAACCGCTGGCGAAAGCTAGTCTAAAAGAATGTAAATACACTTCTTAAATATCTTTGCATTTCGATTCTTAAAACAAAATATAGCTTCCACCTAGGTGTACCACATACAAAGTGAATGTCAAGTAATTTTGCAAGCAAGTGTACGAATCTCGATAAATTCTCATTTTTTTGCAAGATTTTCAAAATGTGTGTGCATTCATTCAATGACTTAATAACATATTGCAAACAAATGAAGCGTGATATCATGAACATCGTTTTGACACAATCTGCAGATAAATGTGATAAAAATTTCAACGATTTTCGTTCATTGTAGTTCAATGTTACATCTTGAGAAATGGTATTATTGAACTTTAGAATATAAAGTCATTAAAATTCGATGATTTTTCCTCACAAAATCATCGAATAATAAAAATAAGCTTCGGCACGAATGGGTTGGCTCGACCGGAGTGATACCACAGCCTCACAGAATACCAGCGTGAAACAACCCGTTTCGCCGTGTGAGTGAGGTTACCGGAGGCCCCATCCCTCCCCTTCCCCTATCCCTTCCCAATCCTTATATCCGCAACCCCTATCCCCAAAAGGCCGGCAACGCACTCGTAACTCCTTTGGTGTTGCGGGTTTCCATGGGCGGCGCCGATTGCTTACCATCAGGTAATCCGTCTGCTCGTTTGCCGACTTATACCATAAAAAAAAACAAAAAGAAAATCACAAACATCATACCAAAACCTCGATCAATGTAAAAAAAGCTTATTAAAACATACCTACCTAATAGAAACGGTGCACTTCACATTTCATTCAAAAAATGTTACAAAAATAATGATTACCTTCATTTAACCCGTAAACTTATAATCATGGTAACGAAATCCCATAAGTAGCAAAAAAAAAATATAATAACCCGTTTACACACACGAGCCCCTAAATATTGATATTTATTTTACCACAAGCAATATTATATTCTTCATAGCCACTAATGACGGGTGATGGGTTTTACAAGGAGTTTTTATGCGCATACGCACAATGCGTGGCGGCGGGCGGTCCTGTAGGAACACAATGGAAGCGCCAATTTGTATAGTTCTTTTAGCTCGGGGAGTGAGGTTACTGCTTGCGACATGTGTGCTTATTGATTTTATAAGATGCTTTAGTTGAGTGGTTGTTAGTGCGACTATTGAGTTTCTTTTTTTTTATGTGTAAGGTCAAATAAACGAGCTAAAGGATAACCTGATGTAAAGCAATTAGCGCAACAACGGATGAGTTACGAGTTACGTGCCTGGCCAAGAGTTTCAGGTGAAGTTATTTAAAAATATGTGTTCCTAAACCTATACATAAGCAACGATACTTATTATGTACAAACATTGCTCACACATTTTTCGCAGGCGTCATTATTTAATATATGTACTTCGAAAATGGTGGAGTTCATTGTCACAATATCACTTTACATTGTCGTTATTTGTATGAATAGTATGAAGGTATTTGTATGTAATTGATTCTACAGCTTATTTTTGTGGTATCCGGACTCGTATAATGTTATACAATCATTTTTTTTTTTGGTACATAGGTAAACCGTCATGAAACTTTTTTCCCTTGTCTTCAACGTTTTGTAAAAGAAGACTTACTTTAAACCTTATCGATTTAGATTTTTTTTTTCTAATTTACCTATATATTTTATATTGCATAGCTATCTTTATAATATATGCTAATAATATTATAGGTACCTAGGCTTAAATCCAAACCCAAACTAATATCATAAATGCGAAAGTAACTCTGTCTGTCTGTCTGTCTGTCTTTTCTTCACGCCTAAACTACTGAACCGATTTGTGTGAAATTTGGGACAGACATAGTTTAGAACTCGAGAAAGGACATGGAAGTTTCTGTACCAAAAGTCTCCAGGAAGTCACTATTACAAGCAAACGGAGTCGCGGGCATAAGCTAAGAATTAAATAGAATTATTAGGTGTGCTTAGGTCATAATTATTGGATGTTTTTTTTATAAATACTTACACTTCTTATTTTACAAACTAAGTATACCTAATAATAATATAATTATTTTCACGAATTCGTCTCGGAAGTATTTACTTAAGTTGTTTTTTTGTCATTTTGTTTTTTGTAAAAGTTTGCTATCGAAGATTAACTCAAGCATTTAAAAAACCCTACTTAACTACTGTTCATAGGTTCGTAATAATCCTAGAAAAAAAACCACTTAACAAAACGTTTTAAAAACACTTTCACAAGTACAAAGAAACAATTTCTTTATTATTGAAAATGTTACACAAAAATGTTCGAGAATTATTCACAAACTATCTCACGGTAGCTAATAATCATTTCCTACTAATCCTTTTTTGGCCACCCACCTAGTAACAGTAGGTTCTAATCCGTTCAAAGGAATATAGACCTTATTACTTTGACAAATTCGTACTAAATTATATCGGAAGTACGGTTAGCTTTCTCTATGGAAGTAAATATTTGTGTCAATTAGAAGCTTAGTAGTGTAATTCTACCGCATTCAAAATGGCGGTGAGATGTTAAGTTATAAAGTGAATTTTAATAATGAATTTGTCGTCACTTTCAATGGATGGTGGATTTGGAAGGATGTCCGGATGGATGTTAATTAAATTTCTATACTGAAAGAATTGCTTATGCTTAGTTGAACACTTTCGATTTTAAATATGCTTGCAAATATTTTGAATAGGTGATTTTATATGTTAAAAAAAATACTACGGCGTACTATTAAGCAAGGTTTTTGATTTTTGCTCTTTGAATAGCATCAAAAAGGTTTATCATATTTACAATACACGCTAGTGTGGGAGAGCCATGCTGCATGAGTCGGCTCAACCGGAGTGATACCACAGCCTCACAGAAAGCCGGCAAAAACAAACACAACGTTGTGTTTCGCCGTTCGAGTGAGGTCCTCCGGTAACCTCACAATCCATTTTCTCTCCCCCAGTCCTTCTCTAGCCCCCTCCCCCAATCCCTTAATTTCCAAATCCCTAATCGCCAAAAGGTCGGCAACGCACTCGTAACTCCAGTATTGTTGCGGTTGCCCATGGGCGGCGCTGATTGCTTACCATCAGGTAATCCGTCAGCTCGTTAGCCGACCTATCACATATCAAAAAAACATACGAATATAAGGGTACAATTTTATTATTATTATTGTAGACAGCATTGCGTGTATTTTTTGTGTATTTAAATATAAAGTCGTCAATAGAATTCGCCGTCGCTCAGCTTCATAGCGTACAGATAAAGAGATCGGTACTCGCAGAATTGGTTGGTGCACCAACCGTTGTGGCCGTCCGTACATCGGCAGGAGTCACACTCATCCATATACTTCTCACCAGGAGTACATTTGAAGAAGGGATTCTTTATCACTGAGAGAAAAATTAAACAGTTATATTAATATAATATTCTTACTAGTAATAGATTCAGAGGCAGTGTAAGGCGTGGGCGACGTGGGCCACCGCCTATGGCCTCGCGGTACAAGGGACTTCGCGCCTCAAGAATTTTTATTTTTCGTCTTCAGGTCGCCACAAAAAAAGGGCCTCGCAAAATCTGCCTTGCTAAGAATAAAATTAGGTTTTGCACCACTACTGAGTAGATTACAGTTTTTTAAATGTTATTAATACCTTTTTTGTGAGAAAAATCATCAAATGACTTTCCAGAGTGTCAGACTCATTCTAACTAAAAACGCCCCCGTTCCTGCTCCTACTCTGTGCCAAGGCCGCGGTGCCTTATTGCGCTTACCCTGCAACCCTTCAACCCCAAAAGGGCTCCGTCTGTGGTGGTCTATTGGGTCTTTGAGGCGCGCGTAGGACGCTACGCGCCGTACACTCGGGTCTGGTTCTGATCGAGCCGCGAGCTACCCTTACTCGCCGTCCACAGACCCGCGCTTACGTAGCCCGATATCATCTTTCGATCCCCGACGCCCAGAATAGCGCCTACTGCGGTGGCTGTGGAGTGAGGAGAATAGTACCCTCATGCGCTCCGCCTCCTCCTTTGCGATCGTCACATGTTAATAATACTTACATATATATAATAATCTACTCAACGGTAATATCAAAATTCATACAAATGTTATAGAAAAGATTTTTTAAAGCGCTAACCAAATACCAAGTGCCGATATTTTATCTCTAACGTTGTATTTTCTTATCACTTAAGTTACCAGAGTCATTAAAAAAGTACAATACATTTACTTGTATATATAGCAGCTTAACAGATAACAGATCTAAAGCCATCCAAACATAATAGAATAATATCTAACGCCTTTTAAAAAAATGTTAGCAAGAAAACTTATATCGTCAATTTTGATAAGATAACAATGTTGTTGTACTTATCATTAGTTTTAATTGCCATTGCTAGTGTTGGGCACTGAAAAAGTATTATTAAGATTTAAAAGTTATGAACAAACTAGCTACTCTCGCGCGGTTTCACCCGCTGCTCGGCTCCATCGAATCGTAGCGTGATGTTTTATAGCCTATTATATAGCACTCAAAAACATCAGTGGAAGAATTTTGGCAATCTGACCAGCAGTTCCAAAGATTACCTCCAAACATACAAACTTACAAACATACAAACTTACAAACATACAAACATACAAACATACAAACATACAAACATACAAACATACAAACATACAAACTTACAAATTTTACCTCTTTATAATATTAGTATAAGTATATATAGACAACTCACTAACACAGTCTACCATACTTATCTGGTAAGCAGAAAATAAAATAAATAAAAATTGGAACAAAACAGAGACTAAGTTAAGGGAAGTTAAGAGCAGGAGAAGTCATTTAATGATTTAACCGTCACAAAAAAAGGTAAGGTTCCTGGATTACTACGGAACCCTAAAAACTGGATGTGTTTTTGCTATGAAGAGTCTAAAACTCCCTCTCGCCTCATCTTGGGCGAGAGAAGAAATTTGATGATTTCTCCCGCTCAACAAAACCCTAATTAAGTAATTATTATGTTTTACTTAATTTTTATTTTATTTTTGTTAATTTTAAGGGAACGATTGGACCACCGGTAACCTCACTCACACGGCGAAACACAACGCTGTGTTTGTTACACGGTTTTCTATGCAGCCGAGGTCTCACTCCAATCGAACTGACCCATTCGTGCCGAAGCATAGCTCTCCCACACTTAACGTATGTCACACGCAAGTTTTAATTTGAAAATAAACCTTTAAACATATGAATAAAGTTGCATATCCCTTACCAGTGCACCTAAGACAAGGCGTGCTTCTCTCGCATAAGGCGGTAACAGTTGGTTCGCAGAAAACACAGGACGGCATGGCACGACAGGCTCCCGTGTCCTGGGCCTCACATAGAAGACAGTTCTTGTTCTCCGGAATCATTGTAAGAGAGGTCTCCTCCTCCCAGTACTGGTGAGGGGGCTTCGGTTTCACGAACTGAGAGACTACGTAGCTGCATGAAAGGAATATTTTGTGAAACTGGTTGTTAAAGTATCCAATTCCTAGATTACCTGATAATTACATACTTCATACTTCAAGCCATAAGGTACCGCGGCCTCGGCCTAGAGCAGGAGAAGAAACGGGGACGTTTAAAAAAAAAAAACTTTGCCCCACTCTTGGATTATCCCCTGTGTCGTGGGCGCGTTAACAAACATACAATGTCACATACACATCTCACGAAGACCCGGAACAACAATTTGTAGATCAGACAAAGAGTTCTTCCGTGCGGGAATTAGACCCGCGAATTTGCCCAGCCACCGCGCCAACCAAATTTGATTTAAATGTGACTTTATGTTTTGATAATGTGAGTTTAAACTTGTATGTATTTCAGAGAAAGAGTAAGAAGATAGTAGATATCTTCAAGTGCAACTTACGCTTGACTTCCAGGTCTATAAATTGGTGGTGACTCCTCGGCGCCACCGCCGACTGAGCTCAAAGTACCGGGCAGCGGCGCACCCCGTGAGCGACCTACACGGGGATCTGAACAATAACATATTTTTATGTGATACGGATTACCTGATGGTAAGCAATCAGCGTCACCAATGGGCGCCCGTAACAACTGAAGAGTTACGAGTGCGTTGCCGACCTTTTGGGGATTAGGATTTTGAGGATTGGGAGAAGGGAAAGGCAAGAATCACTCACACGGCGAAACATAGTACCGTTGTTGTCTCACGTCGGCTTTCTGTACTTCACTTCACTTTACTCCATCAGCCTATAAGTGCCCACTGCTGAGCAAAAGCCTCTTCTCGCACGGAGAAGGTTTGAGCATTAATCACCACGCTTGCTCAACTCGGATGGGCGATTTCAAACTTATAATTAGAAATTATAAGGCCAAGTTTCTGACAAATTTTAATTTATATTTTTTGTGACTTAATGACAAATTTTAATTTTTTATTATTTTTTTGTGAGAGATCCATGCTTTGGCACGAATGGGTCGGCTCGACCGGAGTGATACCACGACCTCACAGAAAAAAGGCGTGAAATAACCACAGCGTTATGTTTCGTCGGTGCCCTTCCCCTCATCCTCAATCCTGAAATCCCCTATCCTTAAATTCCTAACACCACAACAGACCGGCAACGCACTTATAATAACTACTTTAGTATAACGAGTGTCCATGGGCGGCGCTGATTGTTTACCATCAGGTAATCCGCCAAATCGTTTGCCGACCTGTTCCATAAAAAAAAACAAATTTGTTTAGTTCTTTTTTCTCTTTTTCTGTCAAATTTCTTGCCAGCTCTTATTGGTAGTTTAAACATTTAGCATCCAAATTACTTTTAGGATTGACTCTAATATAAACATTGAATTTAAAACAAATAAAATATAATTACTAGCGGCCAGTGTTAAAAAAATTGACAATCATTTTACCTTCACCATACCCCCAGACGGTCACAACCAAGCCGGCAAAAGTTAGGAGTAACCGAATCATGTTTCCCACTACCCGATGGCTTGCCTCGGTCCTCGGGTCCGCTTCAAAGGACCACGGCTATGTGAAACAGTATGTACGTGATGCACAGAGCCGTCTAATTGATCGTTATACGCCAATTATTTCCATTGGCTTACTAAAGAGAAATACGGGGTGATCGTTTCTGTTCTGCGGATGCAATTTCCTCTTATGTTTAAAAAGTTATGAGAATCGTAATTGAAAGCGATGAAATATGTAGATTACATTTTATTTTTATAATTGATACGAATTAATTTTGTCTCTTATCGACACGATTCGTTCGAATAGTACAAATACAACATAAGTTTTAAGTGTGGAAGAGCCATGCTTCAGCAGAAATGGGCTGGCTCGACCAGAGTGATACCACGGCCGAAAAAACGGCGTTGTGTTTCGCCGTGTGAGTGGAGTGAGGTTATCAGGAGCATAATTCGCCCTCCCTCCCTCTACTCAATACTAAAATCCCCTATCCTTAAATCCCTAATAATTCATAACGCACTTGTAGTAGGTACTTCTTAGGCCGGCAACGCAATTATAGTACTCCTTTGGTATTGCGAGTGTCCATAGGCGGCGCTGATTGCTTACCATCAGGTAATCCGTCAGCTAGATTTCCGTACAACATGAAAAATAAGTAAAAAACAAAAGGCTAGATTTGTACTCAATAAGTTCGATTTGAATAGTTTGAACAGCCTGTAGATAATTCGACGTATCTGTCCAATTAAGCGCTGTATACCTCTCGTTAACGTTGCAGATTAACTGCAATGGCTTGCAGATTTACCCGACTGCGTCGAGAGGGGTCATGGGTGCACACTAGCATTGGGGTAGTTGTACGACCCATCGTGATTACCGGAACTATTATGCGTACCATTATCACATCGCTTGAAATTTTTAGTCGTGTATTGTGAAGATTGTGGAGATGGTAGCCGCAAATAATCCTAGCTACAGAAGCAATGGCATTTGATAAATAAAGGAGGATAATATGTATAAACTATGTATTCTTTTTTATGTGAGAAGTCATCAAACAAGCAGATGGATTACCTGGTGGTAAGGAATCAGCGCCGCCCATGGACTCCCGCAAAAACAGAGGAGTTACGAGTGCGTTGCCTTTTGGAGATTAGGGATTGGCGAAGGGGAAGAATTGGACAACAATCACATGGCGAAACATAACGCTATTATAGTATTCCGTGCTGATTATTTAGTTTGACCGACAAAATATAGGTAGGTAACTAATTTGTTCGATTCGTCGATTGAAACTTTGATTCCAAAACCTTATTAAAATAAAATTCAATATCTCTTAAAACGAATCGATTATTAAGAACATTAGCGTAATAATAATAATATGATCTGCAGATCTGAGTAGAAAGCTGGTGGCAATTTCGTCACCCTTCTGCCAATCATAGTTGCGTTAACCCTCTGTTGCTTTTTCTAGCACCCATACATATCATACGGGACCCTTTTTTTGTCAAGGGGAAAATCATCAAATGTTCCCGACCAGGGAAGGCGCAACCCCGGCTGAACATCAGCCCCATAGGGCCCCGTCTGTGGTGGTCTACTGGCTCTTTGAGGCGCGCAAGGAACTCTACGCGCCGTACGCTCGGGTTTGGTTCTGGTCGAGCGGCGAACTACCCTTACTCGCCGTCCGCAGACCCGCAAACCATACAGGAACCTGCGGTCCCGTAATTGTGGAGATGATATGCCTAATTAAAAAGTAATTACAACAATAACTAACACATGAACATCCTACTAATATTACAAATGTGAAAATGTACGGATGTATGTTTGTTATTCTATCACGCGAAAACGACTGGACCGATTTGGTTGAAATTTGGTAAATAGGTAATATTAACACATAGGCTGCTTCTTATCAACATACCACGCGGACAAAGCCGCGGGCGGAATCTACTCGACTATAATGGTTGTCGCCGCAACTGACTTAACGTGGTCCACAAAAGCGTCGGGAGGAATTCGGAAGAACGATTAAAAATATTAAAATTTATTTCGTCGAAGCCCTCCCATGAATGGCTTTCGAATAGAGGTGGGATTATACTGACTGAAATTATCCTTATTAACTAGGTAATAAGTAGAACAAATTTGGCCTTATTACAAAACAAGGTTTTATTTTAGTCTAGGACTAAACCATTGAGCCAGTTTAGTATTTCGAATTGAAGGTAGATGACAATAAGATTCAAAATTTAAAACCCGACTCAATGGTTTAAACCTGGACTAAAGATAAACCTTGTTTTGCATCGATCACTAATAGTTCTTTATTAGTGATCGATGTTGTTTTGTAATAAGGGGGGTTATGTTTTCCATTACTACCCCCCTCTCCGCACACGGAATTCGGAATGTTGGTAACCGCACTAACGAGACAGGAGAAAATCCTAGTTTACCTACGTACCTAGGTACGTCACATACCTAACACAAAACCTCATTACACTATTATCCAAAAGCGATTACTCACAAAACTCAATACAAAAGATATGACCCTAAAACAATAAACGCTGTATTAAGGCCCAATTACGTTGCTATCGCGAAACCTATCGCTCGATTATAATGAAGCTCATTTGTAAATTTAATATACTGATAATGGTGTTATTATACCATCCATCATTGCAAGGCAAACGACAGCTGACTATCTAATATTTATTGTACATAGTCTATATAATTTATATGGAAAATGAGGTGTAATTATTGTAAACGAAATTCACATTAGGTAGATATTATAGTATGTAAGTATTAACACCATTGATGGCCGTTTTGTGTTTCTTTAAAAGATAAGCTTTGTTTGTTTATTTTTTTTTTAATAAGTCGGCCATTTTGTTTTTAGTCGGTTCGTTTCTTTCCTTATTTGAGTGATAAGATGGTAAAGCGCCGCCAATGGACACCCGCAACGACACTTACAAGTGCGTTGCCGACCTTTTTAGGATTCCGGTTTTGGGGATTTAGGGATTAGGGGAAAAAGGATTGGGCTGCAGATAACCTCACTCGCACGGCGGTTTTCAAAAACTGGTAGTATTTTACTTTTTCTTACCGTTTTACTTATCAATTATATTGAGTTTTGGGTTTCAGGTAACCTCACTCGCACGGCTGTTTTCAAAGACTGGTAGTGGTGGTGGTCAACCGGTGCTTGTTGATCAAGTAGATATATACCTAAATGTCATATGATAATCCGGTACGCCGACGGTCCTTTTAAACGTTTGCTTTTGCTAATTGATGACCTTATGACCTTATACTATTACTTAAATGATTTAAGATTGCTCAAGACATTTATGTTATTTTTTATGGTATAGAAGACAAAGGAGCAGGCTGATCTCCTGATGGTACCTACTTTTTTTTTTGTAATAAGTCGGCAAACGAGCACACGGATTACCTGATGGTAAGCAATCAACGCCGCCCATGGACACCCGCAACGGAGGAGTTACGGGTGCGTTGCCGACCTTTTAGGGATTCGGAGATAAAGGGATTGGGGAAGGGTCCGGGAAGGGGAAGGATTGGGCTCCCAGTAACCTCACTCACACATCCAAACACAACGCTGTGCTTGTTTCACCCCGAATTTCTGTAAGGCCGTGGTATAGCACCGGTCGAGCCGACCCATTCGTGCCGAAGCCTGGCTCTCCTACACTTATTTCGTTCATATCTTAGTATGAAGAAGTTACTTCGAATTTTAATAACACGATATAATATTGATAACGACATTAATATAGTCAAATAAAGGATTTGAATGCAAATACTAGTTCAAATCATCATTACTGAATCGTCAGGTGTTTAAATATACAATGATCATGATTATCTATCACGTGGCGGGTCTCATGGTTCGAGTGGCCACGTGTAGTTGCGATAATAAAGTTTATATCAATATTTATATCGATAATATTGTATTATATCGATATTTACTCGATTAACTGTATCGTGTTGTTCGCTGAATCGCTGGAGTCTTATCGATTAAAAGTTCTTCGTAAGTAAGGTAAGGGTTTTCTGCTAATTAAGTTATTTTTTTTTTTGGAAAGACAACTTTGCCTCACAGGAAAAATACTTTCGGCACGAATGGGTCGGCTTGACCGGAGTGATACCACGACCTTACAGAAAACCGGCGTGAAACAACCACAGCGTTGTGTTTCGCGGTGTGAGTAAGGTTACCGCATGTCCAATCCTTCCCCTCCCACATTCCCTCCTCATTCTCAAAATTTCCATATCCCTAATCCCCAAAAGGTTGGCAACGCACTCGTAAGTCTTTCATTGTTGCGGATGTCCATGGGCGACGATGATTGCTTACCATCAGATAATTGGTATTATCATTTGCCGTCCAATCACATAAAAAAATACAACGATTAACTATTTATTAAAATAAATGTATGGTTTACAAACTCAACAAAAAAAAAAATTACGAAAAATCAATATCAACCCAATAACGCCATTGGCATTCAGTGTTGCATTGGAAACGAACTAATTGGTACACAATACCGACCCTTTTCCCACGCCAAACTATTGGCATAACATCATCATTAACCCCCATTCGGGTTTGACGCGGTAATTCGCGAATGGTCCGGTACAAAGGACCTTACGCGCTCATATTTGCACACATTAACTTCAATTCAATGAATATTAACTTTCGTGAGAAGTCATTGTTGATTTTATTTTAATACCTATTTATTTATTTTTAATTTTATCAAGACTATGGGAATTGTTATGTTCATTCAATTAATGCCAGAATTTAGTAGGTACTGCTTGAGGTATTTTACGAGTTGTGCTTAATTTTTTTCACCATCACTTATTTCTTGGTTGGTATAAATCATTTATTATTATTATTTATTTTCTTTATTTAAAAAGGTAAGCAAGGTAAGTTTATTTTCTTTATTTAAAAAAGTAAGGTTTAAAAAGGTTCATAAGCTAAGCTTTACAAAGCCGGTGCAAGGGTTTGTCTGTGGGATCAATGAATCTCTAGACATACTTAAATATACTAATATAACTAAATATTATTAATATTCCAA